TGGCACTTAAAGTGTTGGAGGTGCCCACAGCCCAGTTGGGGAGACCCTCAAGTGAGGTTTTCCCAGTGGCTTGTAGGTGGGCTTACTGCTGGAGTCCTGAACACAGTCAGCAGAAATCACATTCCTTAAATGCCTTCTGATATTCTTATCTACCTTTCACCACCTCCTCTCTCCACTCAGTCATGGAAGTCCTGACTCAACACTCTGAGTGCTCTCAGAGAGAAATGGGTTTCTCCAGCAACATCCCACAAGGTGGGGAAACTAGGCACTCATTCATTTCTCTCTTTCCCTTTTGGGAGAGGTTTTTGCCAGGTAGTTAATCCCATGCTGTGCTGCCTTGGGTGAGGGATGGTACTGAAAAATTCCCTCCTAAATACTCCAATTCATCTAACTTGTTTATTTGTTTTTGTGTTTGTTTTTTTTTTCCTCCAACAGAGTGCTAAAATCTCTCCTCAGTAAACCAGGACTTCACAAATGTTCTTTTATCCTTGGCTGTCTGCCCAAGTCATCCCACTTCAAGTGTTCCTCAACTGCAACCAAGAGGGTCTGAAGCCAATTCACAGATTCTTGCCAGTTTCATAGCCTATAACAAGGTCTGTCTACCTATTACCCAATGTACAGGTGGGAAAGACTCATCCCCAGGCCCCTTGGTGTATGATGCTGGATCCTCTAACTCCCAGAGAGGCACTTTTGTGTGGGGATGAATACTGAATTTTAGTTATGTAAAGGTGAACAAAAAGGAGAAACATTTTATGCCACAATAATGCTCTTGTTCACCTCTGTCATGTCTTTGTTTGAATGTGTCCTTCTTAATGAGGCCTTCCTGGATACCCGAAATAAAATCATCACTCCCAAGTCTCACTCACTAGCTTTGCTCAACTTTTCTTCCATAGCACAAATAATATTCTAACATATTATAAAACTTACTAATTTATCCTGTTTGTTATTTATTATTTCTTCTCTTCACTATGACATAAGATCCATGAAGGCAGGATTCTTCATTTTTCTTCACTAATGTATACTTTAACTAGAAAAACTATGTAATACTTAGTAAGTCTTCAGTAAATAGTATTTTATTAGAGTAAATATGGACATTTTTTGTAATTATGTAAATAAAAAGATATCTCTGTGTGTGCAAACACATGTGTACACATTTGAAAACCTAGCAGTGAAATCTAATGGAGATCTGTTAGTTTGATTTGTTTAGCATCCCACTTTCAGGGAACTTTCTCTCTCTGACTCCATGTAAACCAATTGGGGAAATGAATTACAGGGAGTTATCTCATTGACCACGAGTTTGGGCTTGTGACCGCACTGAGGCAAATCATTTTCTCTCCCCCATGGTTAAAAACAAGAGTAGACAGAGAAGGATGGAAACTGTTCAATGACAATTCCTGAAGAGATGATTAACAAGATCCTACAGCTGAGATTTTTGGAGTTGCTCTGTTTCCTTCAAAAGGTCTGGTTATGGGTCTTTCTTCACATACATGAACTGTCCACTAACTTTCAAGTAAGCATTATCATTAATGCTTACTTAAGTTAATCAAGTTTCGTGTGAGGAACTGTGAAAAGTCTGAAATTTTGTACTAGTTGTAAGCTAAGAAGTTAGTCTGCTAAAATTTCAGTAGAAGACTCCTAGGTCAAACACAAAGGACAGCTTATTACTTACAGTAACTGCAGTAGACAGAGGATTGAACCTTGTGTTGAGCCCCAAATCCCACAGGGAAATGTGAAAAGGGCTGGGTGACTCCTGAACATACAGTATGTAGTGTGTGTTACAGGAAAGGGACCCAGAGCACAGGTGATCAGGACAGGCTTAACGTTTCCTTCAGATTGACTAAACTTTAGACAGGTTTCTTGCTGACTCTAGAGCCGTGACCTCCCTTTTCTTAGAGCATTTACTTTAGCAAACTTATAATTGTAAATTCTCTGTCCTTCTGAGATGTAAATCTTTCTAAGAGTCCCTCATCAGTTTTATAACCCAGGACTGTCTTTCTCAAGGACATGGAAAAATCCCTTTGACATAGGATCATCAAGGAAGATATTGTTCCTATATTCCAGTTTCTTTGGGAGAATAGGAACCTAACTTCCTGTCATAAAGCTATGAGAAGTTTATTTTTCCTTTTGATAAAGCCAATCAGCAAACACAGGTGGTCTAAGGTCCTCCAGTACTTTTCCATTAGCTCATCTCAGCCTTTAAAAGTCTTCTCACTCTTTGTTATAGTAGAGTTTCCAAGATCAGACTGAGTTCTGGCTTTCTCTTCTTTTTTTTTTTTTTTTTTTTAAAGATTTTTATTTATTTAATTTTTCCCCCCAAAGCCCCAGTAGATAGTTGTATGTCATAGCTGCACATCCTTCTAGTTGCTGTATGTGGGACTCGGCCTCAGGATGGACGGAGAAGTGGTGCCTCGATGCGCACCCGGGATCCGAACCCGGGCCACCAGCATTGCAGCGCGCGCACTTAACCACCAAGCCACCGGGCCGGCCCTCTCTTCTATTAAAATAATCTTGAGGGCCGGCCCGGTGGCTTGGTGGTTAAGTGCGCGCGCTCTGCTACCGGCAGCTGGGGTTCGGATCCTGGGCGTGCACCGACGCATCGCTTCTCTAGCCATGCTGAGGTCGCGTCCCACATACAGCAACTAGAAGGATGTGCAACTATGACATACAACTATCTACTAGGGCTTTGGGGAGAAAAAAAGGAGGAGGATTGGCAATAGGTGTTAGATTAGAGCTGGTCTTCCTCAGCAAAAAGAGGAGGATTAGCACGGATGTTAGCTCAGGGCTGATCTCCCTCACAAAAAAAAAAAATATTAAAAAAAAAATAATAATAATCTTGAATAAAGTCTTCCTTACCTGTTTAACATTGTCTAGCACAGTTTTGCTTTGACACAGGGAACCTGATTCTTTTATATGGGTAATAAACAAACTTGTCAACAAAGAACAACAATTCTTTCTCTTCTAAGACTGATACTATAGAAACACTGAGGAAAAGATAAAAGTTAAATAAAAAGTTACTCTGGAGATCCACACATGAAGAAGATAATAGGAAATTAGACCTATACAGTAAGATAGATGAAAACTTTAAAAAATCACATTAATGTCATGTTGCTGTGGAAAATACTCTATGCACTAGTGGTGGACATGAAACTCAGTCATTTTACATGAAATTTGACCAAGGTGTTAAGTGGAAAGTCCATTTAATTTATGGAGCTTCCTACTTAATTACTGCAACTTCCTGCAGTATAGAATTTAATTTTTTGATGTCTATATACTCTATATTCAGAAACTTTAAATTATAGACAGTTCCTCCTAATTTTTTTTAATGCATGTGACATAACAAAACAGCACTATTCTAGTTTAGTTGTATGCACTTTTCTAACCAGAACAGCATCTCTGTTTACCCCATGGTGAGTTTTTCTGAAATTCATCATTGAAGGAGAAGTTAAATCTGTTAAGCAAATCTAGTACGTAGTTCCAAGAATGCCAATTAACTTTCCTGCCATTATAATCAAATTATAAAACATAAAATCTGTGACCGTTGGATATAAGTAATTCCTTAAACAGGTAAAAAGGAGCAGTACAACAAAATGTCAAAAGTAGAAAAGAAAAGATAAAATGGTAACAATAGAGTGAAATGATTTAGTTGAGATTGGCCATGAACAAGAAACCTCATGAGTTGGGTCTATGAATGAGCTTTTGATACTCTTCAAACTCCTTAAATTGTAAGGAAGTATCCCCCTCCAATGTGCATAAGGATAATTTGATGTTTGGATGTTGATTTCAACAGATCATCAAAGAAATGTCTGTTGCAAGATGTGGACTAGAATGATTAAGGTGATCAGGCCACTGGTCAGGCCGACTATTTGATTCTTTTTATAAAAAATTTTTGAACCCAATATTTTCCAATAAACCCTTTCATAGCACCTTATTCTAGAGTAAAAACAGGCAGTAGTGGCACATAATGTAAAAAAGGGAGTTTTTCTAACTTAGCTTCAATCGAGGCACAAAAGCAGAAGGAGGAAAACGTGCCAATTACTTTCAAAAATAAAAAAGTTCAGTTAAAAAGGGATGGAAATATATTCTTTGGAGGAAGCCATTGGAGTCCTTGGTATTTTATCTCACTTCAAAAGAAGAACTACCTCAAGACTTTGGCATGTATCCCCTGGAGTTAAATGTACAGAGTGGATTGGTATCTGATTGTACGTGAGAAATCTGAATGCAGGAGTCTGTGGCTATTGGAGTGAAGTACCAGAGCAGGGCCAGAAATGCCTGCACTTCCTCTGACTGGGGAGGGGCAAAAATTTCGTTTTGGATCAGATATGGGCTAGTTGAGAGAAAAAGTTAATCTGGAATCACTTAAAATGGATTTACCTAAGAACCTCCAAAGAGATGTGACTCAGAAAATTGGTGAACTCTCAGGATTAAGAGGCAAACTCACAAACTGTAAGCCAGAGGCAGCTTCCACCCTGTCACAAGAAAGTTGGTAAAAGCTCCAAGTAGGAAATGCTTCCAGAAACATCTTCAAAGCCCTGAGAGCACCATTGCCAGAGCATGACAGTAACAGTCATGGAAGAAAATTCCTCCACCTATTCCTTCTCTCTCCCCAATGTAATCCTTGAGGATCAGTCATGAAAGTTAGTAGAGAAAAATGCGGTAGCTGACAGAGCTAATAAATAAGTGAAACTCCACTGGCCCCAATGTAGGATTCACAAATTAAAGAATACCAACATAAGACAAAGGGATAAATTTTAGCATTAAATGCAATTTACTGTTATTACAGTGAACTGGACATTTAGATTTGAACAATACTCTGAGATTTCATCTCAGAAGCTGAAAAATAATACCCTACAGATTGGATTTAAAGGGATTGTGAGGAGAAAAATATATTTTGTGGTATATATTTTATAAAGAACTAATATTTCAATGAATTGATGATAGATATAATATGCATGAAAAAAGGAGGGTATTATTTATTATAGAATCTAAAATATAATAATATTTCAATTATATCCTTTCCTTCCTAACACTTTTTTGAGAGCAACTTGGACATCCTTGTTTCTGAGACTATATACCATAGGGTTTAATAATGGAGTCACAATGGTATACATCAGCCTGTCCTTGCTGGACACATAGTTTGCTGTTGGCCTCAGGTAGATGTAGGAAGCACAGCCGTAATGAACAATAACAACAGTGAGGTGAGAAGCACAGGTGGAAAAAGCTTTGCGTCTGCCTTCAGCAGAGGGAATCTTTAGGATCGTCCTTAGAATGCAGAGATAAGAAACACAGATGAACAAAAATGGGATCACAAGTACAAGAACCCCGCAGATGAATATGACAAATTCATGAACACCTGTATTGGTGCAAGCCAGATGAATGACTGGGGAGATGTCACAGAAGTAGTGGTTGACTTTGTTGGCACCACAGAAAAGGAGGCTGAAAACTAAATTTACTACTGTAAGTGAGGCCAAAAAGCCTCCAATTCCACAGGCAGCTGCCAATTTTCCACAGACCTGCCAATTCATAAGGATGGGGTAATGCAGAGGATGACAGATGGCAGAGTAGCGATCATAACCCATCACTCCCAATAGGTGGCAGTTGGTAATAGCAAAACCAAGAAAGAAGAACATTTGAATGGCACAACAGATAAAGGAGATTGTCCTGGCCACAGAAAGAAGATTGATGAGCATCTTGGGAAGGATGACAAAGGTGTAGAATGTCTCCGATGTTGAGAGAATGCCGAGGAAGAAGTACATTGGGGTGTGAAGGCTTTGATCCTGGCAGATGACACTAATAATAGTGACATTACCAGTGAGAATGACAATATACAGAAGGAGAAAAACCACAAAGAGGGCCAGCTGAATTTCACCAAGGCTCGAAAAACCCATCAACACAAATTCAGTGACCATGGTGAGGTTTTCTGCCGTGACCTGCAATAAAGAGTGAAGCGGTAAAACTTATTCAGGTACATGGATATAAGAATCTGAGGTATAGAGGCCTATGCTCCTTTCTGGAGGTGTAGGGAGAATCTTGCCTTTTCCAGTCTAGCACCTTCTCAGATTCATTGATTCATGGTCCCCCTCCTCCTTCATCAACCAGCACAGTTATATCTCTCTCTGACTCTCTGATTCTCTCTTCCGCTTTTTAAAACCCTGTGACTACATGGATACACTCAAATAATACAGGATAATCTCTTTATCTGAATGTCAGTGGATCAGCAAACTTAATTCTGTCTCCAACCTTAATTCTCCTTTTTCATGTAACCTAACTTATTCATATATTCCAAGGATTATAACATGGACATTTTTGGAGGGCCATTATTCTGGTTTCTACAACTTTTGTTGTTGCTAGTGTCATTGAGTGGATTCAGACCCCTAGAGACCCTGTGTACAGCACAGCAGAACCCTGTCTGGTCTTTTTTTGTGCCATCCTCTCATCTTCTGGTGCTATATCAGACAATGCTTCACTTCTATTCAAGAGTTTTCATGGCCATCTTCTTTTTCCAAAGTGGATGGCCTGGTCCTTCTTCCTAGTCTGTCTTAGTCTGGAAGCTCTGCTAAAACTTGTCCACCATGAGTGACCTTGCTGATGTTTGAAATATCAGTGGTATAGTTTTTATGCAGCATGGCAGCTCGCTCCCACCACAGTATGACAACAAACAGATGGGTGGTGTGGTTCCCTGAGCGGGAAATGAACTCAGGCTGCAGTGGTGAGAGCACCGAATCTTAACCACTAGACCACTAGAGCTGGCTTTATTACAACTAGCAACACAAAATCCAAAAATGAAATAAAGTAAACAATTCTCTTTATAATAACATTAAAAAAATATTTAGGATCAAATTTAACAAATGAGGAGCAAGACATATACACGGAAAACTACCAAACATTGTTGAGAGAAATTAAAGAAGAATTAAATAAATGAAGAGACGTCCATTTTCTTGGGTTAAAAGACTCAATATTTTTATGAGGCAGCTCTGAGCAAATTGATCTGTAGATTCAACATAACTTCTATCAAACTTCAGCAGGTTTTCTTGTGAAAATTGACAAAGTGGTTATAAAATGTATATGAAAAGGAATCAGAATAGTCAAAATGTGAAAATGAAGAGTAAAGATGGAGGATTTATATTTTCTGATTTCGAAACTTACTCTAAAGATATAGTAATCAAGAAAGTATGGTACTCATGTATAGTTATACATATAGATCAAAGGACAGAATTGAGAGTCCAGAAATATACACTTCAAAGGTACCATTATGAAAAGGAAGAGAACATCACACGTAAATAAAAATGTATTTGCAAAACATATATCTGATAAAGGATTTGTTTCAAAATATATAAATAACTCTTACAGTTAAATAATGAGAAACAAGCAGTTTAAAAAATGGGCAAACGCTTTCCATAGACATTTCATCAAAGTATATCAGCAGTTAACAGGTATATGAAAATATGTTCAATATCATTAGTCATTAGGGAAATACAAAATAAAACCACAGTGAGGTGACTGTTCACATACACTAGAACGAGTATAACTAAAATAATGGCCACTTAAGGGTGATGATGAGGTTGTGGAGAGATTGAAACCCGTATGTATTGCTGGTGGAAATGTAAAATTACGAAGTCACTTTTGAAAACAGTTTGGTAGTTTTTTTCTAATGGTAAATATAAACTTATATAATAATATAACAATTTCATTCTTAGGAATATACCAAAAAGAAGTGAATGCTATCCACACAAAGACCTTTAAGTGAATGTTCATAGCAGCATTATTCATAATAGCTAAATAAAGGAAACTATCCAATTGCATATCAATTTATGAATAAATAAATTTATGGATAAACAAAATCTAATCTAGCCATGAAATTGAATACTATTCAGTAATAAAAAGAAATGAACTATAAGTACATACCATAATGTAAATTATCTTCAAAAATATTATGTTAAATGAAAGCAGCCAAGTGCAAAAGACTACACATTTAAAATTCAATGTATATGAAATGTCCAAGAAAGGATAATCTATATCAGTAGAAAGCAGATTAGTTGTAACCTGGGAATGAGACAGAACGAGAATTGACTGCAAACAGTCAAGAAGTATCTTTTTGGGATAATGAAAATGTTCTAAAACTGGATTGTGGTGATGATTACACAACTCTATTAATTTGTACAGTTAAAATGGGTGAATATCATGGTATGTAATGCTATTTTAAAAAGGTTATTTTGGAGGAAATTCATAGATATAATATTGGCTATTTAATTTTTCATATATGTGGCTATTTTAATCACTAAAAGAAAACATTTGGGGCATTAGGATTCATTTAATTTTCATCATTTGAGTCCTTGTCTGGGGTCTTGTAGAGTTTCTGGAACACATTATATATTAAAAAATTTTTGTAAAATAACTTTAAGTTATTAATTATTTACATTTCTAATCTAACAACTTAGAGTTTACCATGCTAGTAATGCCCAATTCTATCTCCTGCCCACAGTTAATATAGCCATAAATATATTAAAAAAACAGAAGAGAAGATCATATTCCTGAAGAGGATTGAGAAAGAGGCTCTATTGAATTCAATACAGATGGATTAAGTTAAATTGCAAATGACTATTTATTTCACGTGTTTTCCCCCTTTGAATAACCACAATATAGACATTCAAGAAAAATCAGAACTCATTTTTTAGCTGATTCAAACTGATGGGAACAAAAGAATCATTATCTGTATTTATATGCAGGATAACTATATCCTTAAGTAACCAGAATTTTCCCTACCACCTTTCATTTTCACTTCCCTTACCCATCAATATCTCTATTTATGGATACATGTGGAGTCCATCACGCTTAGATCAAAATATGGTCTGTTGTAGAGCAATTTAATTCTGATACATAAACTGCCTTTAGAACAAACATTGTATATGGGACATAGGGGCAGGAAAAGCAATGTAAATTGGGGTCAAGATTTGCTATAGTCTTTTATGCAGTAAAAAAGCAAAGAAACTTGACTATTTTTGAAGTCATTTTTTATTCAATGTGTTAATGAATATTGGTCTGAGAGAAATCTGTCTTTGATCAAAGATTATTAAAAAGAAAAATGTCCAAAGCAACAGGGTATAAAACATGCTGGAACACAATAAAATGGAAGAATAAACCTAAAGACTTGAAAAACAGTCAAATCATGTAAATATTTCATAGAGTTCAGCAAATTACAATTCTACAACAAAACATGACAAAAGACAATAACAAAAACTAAAACAGCCACAAACAGAAGAAAACCCTTGTAAAACTAAGCAACATCATTAATTAAATATAACTAAATAAAATAGAGACATACTTTAAAGGATTGGAGAGAAAGTAACAGACATAGAAGAATGACAAAGCAGATCCAACATGCACAGCATCGGAGTCTTTATAAAACAAACTCAATATTTAAAACCAGTAAAGAGGGCCGGCCCTGTGGCTTGGTGGTTAAGTGCTCACGCTGCGATGCTGGTGGCCCGGGTTCGGATCCCGGGTGCGCATCGAGGCACCACTTCTCCGTTCATCCTGAGGCCGAGTCCCGCATACAGCAACTAGAAGGATGTGCAGCTACGACATACAACTATCCACTGGGGCTTTGGGGGGAAAAAATAAAATAAATAAAATCTTTAAAAAAAAATAAAAATAAAACCAGTAAAGAAAACTTCCCTGAAATAAAAACAATCTGCATCTACATGTTGAAATTATCTGTCGTCCTTTCACCTTATTCAGATTCATGACTATCCAAATATTCATGAACATTGACCAAAAACAGTCAAGCATAAGATATATCCCAGTTAAAGTATTATATTTAAATACAAGGAAAAATGATCTGTACTTTTGAGCAAAAATACTGATCACTAAAAATAAAAAGTAAATCATGTGGAAATCATATTTCTTGGCAGCAATATACAATGCATAATGAGAGTGTGGAGCTTTTCAAGAAATCCAAGGAAAGAAGATTTGACCAAAGATTTTTATTCATAGACATACTGTCCTCACAGACAAAAGATATAGTAAAATAGTTTTAAATATACTAACACTCCAGGAATATTAAAACCACTAACTTTTCTTGATGAACTCACTAGATGAAGAGATCCATTCACCCAGAGATGTCTGGTGGATCATTTGGCTAAAGGACTGGTAGTGGACACTGAATAAATATACCTAACTGTAGATCCAAATAGCACATAAATGTTAAGTACTTGGCAAAGAAAGAGTAACACATTTAAAAAATAAGAAGAGAATGAACAGAGAAATGGTGAAGTAGGGAAATTTTACTTATTGCTGCATAAATAATGATGAGACTCAATGTCTATCATTTAAAACTGATCAAACAAATAATGAATGTCTAGGAAAAAAGACTAAAGATAAAAATAATCAGATATATTCTTAAAGCAGAACTTAACTCTATGCATTGTATAAGACACATCCATAACAAAATGATTCAGAAAGGCTAAAAAATGGAGAAAAGGGAAATAATCCCAGCACACAGAAACCAAAAAAGCAGGGGTTATGATCTTGATATTTGACAACTTAAAATTAAGACCAGAATCATTATGCGAGCAACAACAAAAACAATGACAAAAGATATTTTTAATGTTAACACACACAATTCACAATGACATTATAATAGATATGAATTTATGTCCCCTCAAAACAGAGTGCAACCTTCATAGGAAAGAACTCATAAAAGATTTACAAGGAGAAACAGGCAGACATACCAACAATGGGTAACTTTAATAAACCACTCTGGTCAAAACAGATCAAGAAGAAAAATATAACTAAAGATTTAGGAAACTGAAACAGCAAGATCAGTAAGGTATATCTTACAGGTATACAATGAGTTTGTCTTCTAATAGAAGAGTATACACTTTCTTTTCAAGGTACATCTACTATTTATGAATTTTGACTGTATATTAATTCACAACAAAAATGTCAAGCAATGTCACAAATTGAAAAGAATACAAACATATTTCCTAATCCCTTGTAATAAACTATTAATGGATAATAAAATAAAAACCTCTTTTATCTGATAATTTTAAAATATTATTACATAACCGTTGGGTCAAAGGGGAAATACAAAGCAAAATAAATAAGTTCTATAAAATAATGTCAGCTATATTCTACATATTAGAATATGGGGTCTAATTTAAAGCAGTGATTAGAGGAAAACTCATACCTTAATTATATATATATGAAATTTTAAAAAATAAAAATTTTTATGAAACAACAGAAATTTACAAATAGAGCAATAAATTAAAGAGAAATAAAAAGGTAAAAATAATACAAATAAAATAAAAATAGTATAGAAAAAGAGAAAACCACTAGAATATATATATACACGCACACATACATTGGCTCTTGGGTTAAAAAAATAGACAAAACATGCATCTACTACTACTTTATCTAAAAAAATACTAGAAAAGAGAAAGCACATGTATACACAGTACAAAATGACAAGGCAAACAACCATTTTAGGAAAGAAATTTTCAGATGTCATAATAGAATCTTTGTACAAATCTTTTCAAGGAAATTTGAAAGTCCAGAATTATCCAGAAATGGATAATTTCTGGAAAAAATTAATTGTCAGTCAAAATAAAAATGGCTATTTATTCTAGGTCAATTCACTTAGAAGAAATAAAGGATATTATCATAGAGCTACTCCTCAAAAAAGACACTATGCCTATACTGTTTCATAGAGAAATTCAATAAATCTTCAAAAATGAGATGCTGTTAACGCCACATAAACTGTTTCTAAAATACAATAGTAGCGCAATAAATACTTAAAAAAAAAATCCACTTGAATCTTCAACTCATGTAATGTTTAAAAACTCTCTTGAGTGTGTCAATGAAATGCAAAAAAAAAATGAAAGGATTAGAATAAAAGGTATTACGTGATGGAAAAATTGAAAAGCTAAGCTTAAATATAATGACAGATTATCAGATAGTAGTAAATAATCAACAAATTGATGGCATAAAATAATATTCATATTTGCAACAAAAACACAGTCAGAAATATTAGAAAACAAACAACAAATGGAAAATTACCAAAAATATTTTCAAAATGTTAATATTAATAAAAAACTTAAATACAAACTGATGGAAAAAATACCTAAAAGTCCAGTGTAGAAAATGGATATAAGCACGCAGTGTATAAAATAGGAACAAAATGCATCAAATATATAAAATTTAGTTTCACTTCATTTAAAATACACTGCAAGTTAAAATTAAACTGAAGGATCATTTACACTCTTCAAATTAGCAGTAGTGATTTGGGTTATATGACCAGCAACGGAAATACTTGCTAATAGGATTACAAATTGATTATAACTTTATGGAAAGAAATTGTGCAAAACATATCAAAACCCTTAAATACAGTCATTCCATTTTTTCCAGTAATTCCATTTTTGAAAATCTACCCTATGGTAACAGATTTATGCATGAGGATATATTTACAGTAAGGAAAATTTGGTGGTCTAATATGGACTAATAGTATCAGGTTTAAGAAGGCAGTGTTATGTAGTGTATGCAAGTATAGAATCTGAAGATAGGTAACTTGGATTTGGGTCCCAGTTCTTCCATTTGGTGACTGTGTGACCTTGGACAAGTTACTTAACCTCTCTGTGTTAGTTTCTTCATCTGGAAAAGGTCAGATGTGAGGATTAAATGTTTTCGTATATGTCAAGTGCCTAAAACTACATTAGAAGCATGCTACTATGGTGTTATTTTCTTTGATGATTATTTTTCTCACTAGGCTCTTTGTAAACAAATCAGCCATTCTAAAACAGTGATTTTGAAACCTTTTGCTTATCCCATCACTGAGATTATAGAATCAAGTTAGTCATTAACACCAGTAGTTTTAAAACCCAAATAGAGTAGATGAGAGAAACAGAGAAGACATTGGGAGAAGTACACAAAGTATGAGTAGCCCTTGTTTAAAGTGAATCTTTTGTTTCAGTCTGTGTGCATGTGCCCAGGCATGCTGGGTGGAAATTAAATTATATTTCTTACTTTGTCTTGCAGGTAGAACTACGAACAGAGAATATACAACTCAATGGGCTGACAGCTTTGTTGGAAAATAAACTTTCTTTACCTCTTCAGGCCCCCTGATTCCCATATCTGCTGTTTTGGGCAAGACTGACTCTTCTCTAGAGGCAGAACTCTGAAATTTGAAGAATTTCAGTGTTTCTAAAAAGAAAAATAAATATCCATGACGCCCTCTATTTTCAATATTGTTTGCCTTTCCTCTCTCATATGAGGTCCTGAGGGGAAATTAGAAGAGACAAATCCATTCAAGGCAGGAGTCTATAGATTTTTGTTTCCACTGCTTTTGACCTGGGAAGGTGAATTGGAAGAGATGATTTTCAAGAGTGATTTAGGCAGCAAAAATACAGGGGCCTGAGAATGAGAGGCATAACATTGCAGACACAGAACTGCTTGGACAAGGTGGCAAGAAATAGGAGAATAGATAGCAAAGTGAGTATTGAAACAGTTCGGTTGAGAAGAAGTGGCAAATGCAGAGACACTAAAAGTTTCATTTAACCAATTACCTTCTTACCCCAAACCTTATAATAATCCCTGTGAGCTTTATAATACTCCAAACTCCTTGGCAGGAAAAAAAAAAAAAAAACAAGTGGGGGAGGGTATTAATAATTTGGTTTCTCACTATACTCCAAATTCATCTCTTCCATCTCCCAGATTTTGTCCCAATATTTTAATTGCATGGAACTTCGTGTAGTTCATTGAGCACGCAGTGAGCCATGT